TTTCGCACTGTGGTCTCAGAGGGTGGCCTGTAGTGTTTGACTTTAACAATCTATTGAGGTTTGCCTTTGTGAAGGGATACATGGGTAATTTGTGAATGTTCACCTAAGTTTAAAAAGAATGCACATTCCCTATTTACAACCTAAAAACTACAAGTTGCTCCGTAAACATTAGCTTCTTCAATCCTCACAATGTGTGGCAGGTATGAGCCCATTTGACAGATGAGGAAAATAAACTTGGAGAGTTTACGGTAATTTCCTCAAGGTTACCAAAAGCTGGTAAGCAGGGGACCACTATTAAGATCCAGACATGTTGGGGCGCCTGGGTGGCTCAGTGGGTTAAGCCTCTGCCTTCAGCTCAGGTCATGATCTCAGGGTCCTGGGATTGAGCCCCGCGTCGGGCTCTCTGCTCAGCACTGAGCCTGCTTCCTCCTCTCTCTGCTTGCCTCTCTGCCTACTTGTGATCTCTCTCTCTCTCTCTGTCAAATAAATAAAATCTTTAAAAAAAAAAAAAAAAAGATCCAGACATGCTGCCTCACTCTGTCTTGGTGTCTGTCTCTCTAAGAGATCACAATTGATAGTTCCATTATTTAAATACTCATTATTTTATGCCTACTTGTCTGATGATACTTGAGCAAAGTGTATAAATTTTCCTGTAATGACTGTGACTGTCAATTACTCCTTATATTTCTATCAGGCACTGCTTTATATGTTTTATAGCTGTATGGTTGGTTACATAAAAGTTTGTTTATATTACAAATTATCAGCAGACTGGGTCTTTAGTCACTTTGAAATGCATTTTTTGGCCCTGTTTAATGATGTTTTCTGTTTCAATTCTACTTTGTTTGCCATTAATATTGTTTACTTGCTTTCTTTTTGTTAGTATTTCCTTTTTTTAAAAATATCTTAAGGGTCATTTTTAAAGCTGTATCTATTATAAGTAACTTATGTTTGGATTTTAAAAAATCCAATCTGACAGTCTGTCATTTACTAGGGCATTTACTTCATTCACAGTTATTTTGTTTGGACTTATTCTTGCCATCTTATTATATATAAATATGTGTGTGTGTGTATGTGTATTTTATTTTTAAATTTATTTTTTATAAACATATTGTATTTTATTTTTTTTTTCTTCATGAGTTCCTTTAAAATTCATCTTTAGTAGTTTGGATGTCCTACATTATTTTATTCTTCTAAGGAGCCATTAAAATTTTTATGTGTTTAAATATTTTATTTTATCAAAGTCTTGAGCTAACTGGTAGAGAAACTCTTCCCCAAATAAGTCAAGAATCTTGACTTGCTTTCACTTCCATTTTTCCTGCCTTCTAATTCTTATATTGTGATCATTTGGATCTCCATTCCAAATTGTTATAAAATAATGGAATAATAAATTTAACTGGCTCTTTTTGGGGGTCCTTTTGTGCTATGTTATTGGGAAACCCCTCAAGTTTCCAACCCACTGCTTTGTTCTTTTCTATCCCTTCTACCACACAGCTTGTATCCTGAGGTTCTTGTTTGAATGATCAAAAATTTAAATCCATAAAATGCTAGCCTATTCTATTTCATGGAAACTATTTTTGAATCTCTCTGAAGACAACAATCTTGCTCATATTCTAAAATCTTCTGTTTGCTTCGTATTACATCCTCTGGTATTAATCTTTTCTTTTCAGGATTTTATTATTTATTTGAGAGAGAGAGAGAGAGAGCGCGCACACAAGCAAGGAGGGGTGGCTAGAGGGAGAAGCAGGCTCCCTGCTGAGCAGGGAGCCCGATGTGGGGCTTGATCCCAGGACCCTGGGACCATGACCTGAGCCGAAGGCAGATGCTTAACGCCCTGAGCCACCTAGGCGCCCCAGTTATTATTTGATAGCAGTTGGTCCCCCTGTCCTGGGGTTGGTGCTCTTCAATTAGTGATTCTTGGTGGTCTGCTCATCATCTGCTGTTCTACTGCCTGTGTCTGCCTCTGGGGAGTGGGGAGTGGGGAGTGGGCAGCACTCCAAGGAGCGGTGTGAAGTGAATTCAGTATGTTGTCTTTCTCCGAAATTTTTTCATTCTTTAGTCTTTGATTAAATGTGATCAATTTAATGGTCCCAACACCACTTTCATTAATTAAGAAGCTTCCCCAAATCATCCCGGGGAAAGCAATTCAGCCCTTTATTTCTTAGTTTAAGCTTTTGTGTGGTTACTGGTATATCAGGTACATCGTTCCTTTACAGGGATACAGACTCATCACAAATTAATTAAGGTCCCCATATCAACAGACTCATTTTGGCAGAAATTAGATCACGGGCAGCCCTGTCTGGTGTGCCTGCATGAATGGGGTGAGAGGGGGGTTTATAATTTACTAAGATGTATTCTAATGGACACTGGTATTAATATCATATTGATATCAACACCTTAAATGATGCCCTCTGGCAAAGTTGTTGATGTGTCTCCTTGGAAAATTGTCCCTCATTCCCAAACCCTTTCACGTTCTGGAAATCAGGTCAGTTCTTCAGAACTGCTGCCCAAAAGCAAGGGTAGAGCTGGCCAGAGAGGTACACTTTTTCAGATGGTTTTGTAGGAGGAGCAAAGAATGGAAAGGCATTTATTTAATGTCCCATCTAGACTAATACTAGAGTTCTTGGAAAGATCCCGACTTTCACCTAGAATGCAGTTCCAGCCCTTCACTCTCCGTAAGCTGTCATTTAGGACTTTCTTCCCTCTTGCATATTTACAAGAGCCAACTCCAAAGCCTCCTCTTTCAGCATCAGAAAGGTGTTTCTGTGTCAAAGCAGTGTCAGCAAGTAAAGTTCGAGTTGTCCAGAGACAATCCTTTCATCCTTGCCCCGATTTTTAAGCTATCAGTGGAGAGACCGCCCCTTTGGCTGGCTGGCTGTCCCTCACGTGCTCATATGAAGAGCAATGATTTCATGATTCTCTCATCATGACTGCATGTGTTCTCCTTGTGCAGTGACCCACTCGAGCTTCCTGCACCAGTCCTGCCCAGGAGGGGTCACCCTCACACCCAGCTGTTAGAGACTGTGAAGCACTCTGAGGCACTCTTTTTTTTTAACTTTTTTTTTTTTTTTTTTTTAAGAGATTTTACTTCTTTATTTGAGAGAGAGCGAGAGAGAGCATAGGCAGGATGAAGGGCAGAGGGAGAAGCAGACTCCCCACTGATCAGGAAGCCCAACATGGGGCTTGATCCCAGGACCCGGAGATCATAACCTGAAGCCAAAGGCAGATGCTTAACCGCCTGAGCCACCCAGGTATCCCACTCTGAGGTACTTCTTTAACGATATCAAACTATTCCTGAATTCATGCAGACCAAGTAAACATGTCTGTTTTATACTGTAGATTTTTTCTTTCAGCCCACAAATATTTACTGAGCACATACTACGTGCCAAGCATTGTACTAGGGTCTGGAGGTACAGCAGTGAGCAGAGAGAAACCCCTGTCCTTTTACTGTAGGGGCCCAGGAGGAGGCAGAGAAACTGGTCAAACATGAAAATATGTGAAATGTCAGCTGGTGATGAAGAAGATGGTGATCTCTGAATAGCAAAGGGGCACGAGGAGTGTTGGGACTGAGGCCGGGCAGAGAGGGTGTCCCTGGGAAGCTCTGATTTGAAGGAGGTGAGCGAGGAGGTCATGTGGCTCTCTGAGGACAGGGTGTCTGAGTAGAGGGAAGATCGAGTACAAGTTCTGGAGGTGGGAGAGTGTCTACTGTGCTCTAGGACCAGCAAGGGACAGCATGGCAGGGGTAGAAAGAGTGGGGAAGAAGGAAATATGGTCAGACAGTGTCGGGAACAGACTGTGGGGCCAGCTAGGGTGCTGGAAGAATCTGGGGGGCAGGAAAGCCACTGGAAGGGTCTGAACTGTGGACTGACATGACCTAACTTGCATTTTGGGAGGCTTGTGCTGCCGCTGGGCCAGGAACAGACTGCAGGGAGCCAGGACGGAAGCAGGGGCACCGGGGAGGGGCTCCTGCAATAACTGAGGGCAGGTGATGTCACCCAGGGTGCGGTGCTGGCAGTGGATGTGGAAAGAGTGGTAACGTTCTGATTTGTTGTGAAGGCGGAGACATTAGGGCTGCCGGTGGATCAGATGTGAGACGCGGGAAGAGAGGCATCAAGGATGATCCAATTAACTTTGACCTGAGTAACTGGAAAGACTGAGAAGGCATTTGCTAAGACAGGGAAGGCTGTGGGAGAAACAGGTTGGGAAGGGTACGACTGAGAGTTCTCTTTTAGATAACATGGAGATTTGTCAGGCATCTGGGTAGAGATGGCCTGAAGGTTGCTGACTATCAAAGTCTGGGTTTCATGGGAGAGGTCTGGGCAGGAGAGGAATATCCAATGTCATCAGTACACACTGAATATAAAGCCATAAGCCTGGGTGAGATCTCAGAGACTTGAGTGCAGACAAAAGGTGAGCCTGAGCCCTGTTGATGTTGGGGAAATGAGGGGAAAAAACAGCGAGAAAGGAAGAACCAAGGGAATGTGATGTCATGGAAGCCAGGAGAACGTTTCAAGGAGGTAGGTGGGAATGATCACACACTAGGAGTCAAGCCTCCGCTTGAGACAAAATCTACAGTGGACTTAGGATCGACTAGAACTGCACATTCAGGATACAGATGGGAGTTTCAATCTATACTTCTGTCTTTTGAACTAGCCCTTCATCCTCTAAGCCTCAGTGACCCTTTGAAAATCTTCATGTATACTGTGGGTCTTCCGCTCAGAAAAAGACAATCAGACACCCCTAAGGTTGCCGGGAGCCCCCAGTGCCAGAAGAGTCTACCCCAGAAGCCATGTTCATAACCAACCCTTCCCCGTCCACAGAGAGGTCATCAACCAAACTGTCTCAGAGCAAAAATTCAGGTGTTGAGCGTCTCTGGGCTTCTCCAGGTGTATTTCCAAAGGCTGGAATGAGTTGAACTTTCTGGGCCCTTAGGGTAGTATGTAGAGAATGTGAATGGGCTGGCTCTGTTCTGAAAGCAACAGTCATGACAAGCGAGAACTCACCACCATCTCCTGCACATGGAACATCTCTGCCCCTCCAGGTGACAGCCGATTGGGGAAAGCGATGCTGACAGATGACCCAGGAAGGGTGCTTGGCCCAGTGTTATAGACCTGTGGGTGAGAGACACACACAGCATATTTTAGTGGAAATACAGACCTTCATTTCATGGAATGCAGTAGGTACTCCCACAGACTGTAGGATTTAGGATCTAGAAGGTCATGACTTCAAGTGTACTAAAATATCGAATAATGGCAGACTTTAATGAAACAGAAATCCTTCCAATACACATCTGAAACCCCCAAACTTTCAAATTACCTTATTCCCTTTCATCACGTTCTTGCCTTCTTCCTGCTAAAAACTGCATTTCTTTTTATGTACCTAGGAATTACTCATAGACTATTACACTTGGTGGGAATATAGACATCATGTGGTCCAGTGGTTCTCAACCTTTAGCATGCATCAGGATGACCAGATGGGCTTGTTAAAATGTGTACTGGGGGAGGGTCATGCCCAGAGTTTCTGAAGTGGATCTGGTTGGGGGAGGACATGAGGGAACTTAAGGACATGCATTTCTAGTAAATGTTCCCAGAAGATGCTGATGCTACTGGCCCAGGAACTGTACTTTGAGAAGCACTGATCTGGTCCAAGCCCTGCCTTTTACAGTTTGAGGTAACTGAGAAGACAAAGTGGACTGTCCCCAAGCCAAATGGTGTAATTTACAGAAAGGGTTGCTCTTACCACACGATCCAGATGATCGGGTTTCCACGTAATTTACAGCTAATCCCTTGCTAATCCTGTTTGAGGACCTCTGTGCATTTCTTTTCTGCCCCAGGGTTTGGTCCTGTAAAACTTTACCTTCTCATCCTCCCACAGTCCTCCCTGTTTTCTGTCTCCAGAGGCCCATCATCTCCTGAGAAATGAGGAAAGACGGCAGCCACAAAGAGAAAAGCGAAAGGAGATAAAGCAAAAGTTGAGCACAAAACTCAAGGAAGAAATGGGATATAAAGAAGAATTAAAAAGATGGGTAGATGTGTAGAGGCAGAGAGTAGATTGGAGGTTGCCTGGGCCTGGAGTAGGGGGAATACAGCAGGCAGAAGAATGGCTTTTAAAGATATTTGTGTCCCCAAATCCATGGATCCTGTGAATATGCTACGTGGCAAGGGGGAACTAAGGTAGCTAATCAGTAGCCCTTAAAATGAAGAGATTATCTTGGGTGATTCAGGTGGGTGTAACGTAATCACAAGGGTCATTATACGGGGAGGAAGGAGACTGTCAGAATCAGGGATGTGGCTTGTGGGAAAGATGTAGCTGGCCATTGTTGGCTCTGAAGATGAAGGGGACCCTGAGTTAAAAGTGCAGTAGCCCGGAGAAGAAGCTGGAAGGGGTAAAACAGATTCTCCCCCAGCAGCTCCAGAAAGGAACCCAGCCCTGCTGATACCCTGATTTTAGCCCAGGGGGACCCATGTTGGACTTCTGACCTCTAGAACTCCACAGTAATACATTTATATTGTTTTTAGCCACTGAGTTTATGGTCATTTCTTATAGCAGTAGGAGGAAACTAACATAGGGATTGACTGCTGAAGGGTATGGAGTTCCTTTTTTTGGGGTGATGGAAATATTCTAAAATTAGATTATGGTGATGGTTGCACAATTCTATAAACACACTAAAAGTAACTGAACTGTATGCTTTAAATGGGTGAGCTTCAAGGTAGGTAAATGAGATCCCAATAAAGACGTTATTGTTTAAAAAAACATGGGTAGAAGCAAAAGAGAGAAGAAGCTGGATGCTTGCTCTGTGCCCTGGGGGCTAGAGAGAAAAATCAGGCATTCAAGGGTCTCTGACGTTGGGGTCAACAGGGCACAGCCAGGAGGTGAACGGAAATCTAGCCAGGTCTTTATACACGACAGAACATATAAGGATCTAGGCTCCAGCCAGCTTTTCCCTAGAAAAGCGTGTGTTCATTTTTTGCAATAGTTGGATTCTGCTTCAAAGCACAAAAACATGATGGAGTGGAAGGGAACCCTGCCAACTCTTGATTTGAAAAGAACAAAATTCACCAAGACAATAGCCCTAAGACACAAGAAAAGGAAGGAATATCTAGCCACAACTGAAATAACTAATTGGAAGTAGAACACGAGAGCACAGAACTGCAAAGAAAACTACTGACATGTCTGGGAAATCCCAATGAAAAAGGAAGTGGGGGGGAGAGAAGAGAGTGGGTTTGCTTTGCACACTTTCATGTACTATAGCCAGATGGGCGAGAGGGCCTGTGCTGCCATATTCATTTATTCTTAACACATGCCTCAACATCTGACTCTCCACAAATGTTCTTGAGTGGCAGCTGTATTATTTTTCATTGTTCTTTTTCAGGTGAGAAAAATGATGGACTCTTGATGAAAAAAAAAAAAAAGCTATCAGTGGTCAACACATCATCATGTTTCTGTTAAGAAAACTTTGACGGGATGTAGGAACCAGGCCCAAGACTCGTTTTTCTGCCTTTCTCCCATCGGTGCCTGCGGTGAAGTCTTTAAACCATCACATAGCTTGTTGAATAACAGCTTTTAAAAGACAGAAAAAATCACTGTATAAGGGAAGTCCTGTGCTCTTTGTCAGGAGTGATGCTATCAGAATAAGGCCATAGAGGAAAGTTTTTATCTACTTCCTGATCCCATGCTCTCCCACTATCACCATCCACCTGGCCCATGGCCTTTGCTGCATGACAGTCAAAATAATGACAACTGTATCAGAAAATGAATCACCAGATTCTCAAGGGAACGGTCAGCTTTGCTGACCCAGGAGGAGCTCCTTCCCATCAACGACACATGCTATCCATCTTTGGACCCAGTGGACTCTCTTAATCCTCAACCGAATGCTGTGTACTTCCTCAAGCAAACTGGTAATCAAGAGGTTTATCTAAGCGGCATGGCTGTCACTCATCCTGGCCGCATTCTCTAGCCTGTATCCTAGATCAGGTCAGATGGGAAGAAAGCTCTTTGCTTCAATACTAAACTTTAAGTTCCCCATAAAGATGCTTTCAGAGAAACACGACTTAACCATATGCCCTCGAGATCAATCTTTCTATCTTCCTTTCTTTTCTCCCTTCCTTCTCTCCCTCCTACCTTCCTCCTCCCCTCCTCTCTCCCTTTCTTTTCCTTTATTTTCTGCCTTTCCCTTCCCTTCCCTTTCCTTATCACCAGAGGGTGATAAGATTTTTCCATCTCTGGTATACCTCCGACTCGCTCTTATCCTAATACCTATACCCTCTTCATTACATGGTGTGTGTCCTTTGAATCCTTCTGAATCATCTTCTGGACTGTATCTTTCGTTGTAAGACACCTCAAAAACTCCAAGAGTAGGTAAGTAATTAAAATTAAAGTGATTTAAATGAAATCACTCCATCTGGTCTTTATCTGTTTCCTATCCATTTGCAAACAGCAATGGGGGAAAAAAGAAACTACTTCTGAGCAGCAGATTAGAAACACAGAGGTCCTGCTCACAGCATCACTGCGAAGTCTCAAAAGCAGGTCTAACCCTACCTTCCCCTTTTCTCTGGAAATGGAGCATAGGGGGTGACGGTAGGGGCTTAACTGGTCAGGAGGCACCTCCTCTCTGAGCTGGGGACATGTGTTCCCCAATCATGGTTTCAGAGGTCTCTTGCCCGGGGGGAACACTTTAGAGAGAGGGAGACGTTGTTTGTGAGAGCCCACAAATGTTTTGCTGCCTCCTTCTCTGGACCCACACCCCATGATTATGTCTCACCCCTTCCGTCCACCTAGGAGTGGCCATAGGGAAAGAAAATAGTCATTATTGGCCAAAGTTGATGCCAGACCATGAAACCATCTTCTCCATGGGGAAGAATGGGGAAGAGGCAGGGGACAGCACTGGGAGCTGGAACTGGATGATACTGGAGAGATACTGGATGTAGGTCAAGGTGTACCATGGGTGAGCAAGGCCCATCTCCTTCACATCATCAACAGCTCCTGGCAGTGTGCTTGGCTACACCAGTGGAGCCTGGATCCAGTTCTTGTCAACTGAGGACAAGGGACTGGATGAGGCTGAGGTCCTTCTAACTTAACAGGCAAAGATGCTCAGGTTGAACAGTGCAGGCCTGAGAATTTCTACTTCACAGCAGGGCTCAGCCAACTATGGCCAACAGGCCACCCCTGGCCTGCCACTTGTTTTTTGCATGGTCCGCAAGCTAAGAATGGTTTCACATTTTTAAATAGTTGGAGAAATATTTAAAACTAGGGTAACATTTCATGACATGTGAGGATAATATAAAAATCCCCAATTCAGTGCCCATTACTTCAGTTTTGCTTCTGCACTGCCTCTGGCTGCTTTGGCACTCTCGTAGCATAGCTGAATAGTTGCTACAGACATTATATGGCCCACCAAGCCTGAAATATGCACGGGCCCTTTACAGAAAATGTCTGCCCATCTGGTCCAGAGAAGGAAGAGGGTTCTTTGGGATGCCCATGGTCCACATGGAGTGGACCTGCTGAAAATGATGCCTGTGTGACTGCGGAGGGCCAGCCATGGCTCTGTGAGGGAGGAGCTGCTGCTTCCCATGGAGGGGGGCGTATGTATTCTCACACCCCTTGGCTACTGGGAGACTGCACTTCCGAATGCCCGTCCATCTACGGGAGGAGTGGGGTCCAGGCGGAGTCAGCATGGAGAGCCCCAGGAGGAAGAGGATTCAGCAAGTGCCTGGGACTGTCTGGCCCACAAGGTGAATAGGATGGAGAACTGAAAGGGGTCCTTTGGGGCCATCAGGGTGGGGACGTTGGCCAGAGGCCTTCTTGGGGAAAGGAGGTGTTTATCATGAAGTTTTCCTTCCAAGAGCTGAGAAGGAGAGGGATCTACATAACAGAGTAGCAGACAGGGAAGGGATTAATTTTGTATGCTTACAGAAAACACATACACACACATACACTACACTCCAGCCAACCAGGCTGGGACAAGTTTCTCCTGGAAAGAGCCTGGCTCTTGAGCTGCCCTTCAGGAGAAGACCTATCCCCACAGGCCCTTCCGTTGCTGCCAGTGACAGAGACGGTCTCCCGGGTTGGGTACCTGAAGGGTGATGTTGAGGGGCTGGAAATGACACTCCAGGTCATCTAGCTGAATGAAGTTAGATGCGTCCACAGACTCGCCATACACAAAGGAAGTTGGAGACATGATTCTGAAAGAGGAAAGCATTTAATCCATTATCCTAAACCTCGGTCAGGCAACTCATGGTTACTGCTGTCCTGAGAACCAAACATCTGTCTCTATTTAATCCAGAACCATGTTCCCTCCGCCGTCTTCACCAAACCCTTCCCTTCTGGAATTGTTACTTCTCTGTCCTATACATGGACATAGCCAGAGCTATGTTTTCTAAATGGAAGTTTCCAGGAATGTCTTCTCATCTTAGGTCAAAACAATAAGCCACATATACAAGTATGTACTGGGATTACATTTCTAAAATGAGGAGGAAGATAATGGTAGCTTCAACTTCAGGTTTTGTTTTTTTTTTTTTTAACTGGATGACAGAATTATACATGTTGTGTTTTATCATTTGAAAAAGATTTTGTGGACCGAGGAAGATCATGGCAAGTTTTTAAGAAATAAATATAAATGAATTATATATTTAGCATCCTAAAACCTACACTGTGATAAATTCATTAAAAAACTTTTAAATGTTTTTTAAACATTTAGTAGTTTAGTAGTTTAAAAAAACTACTAAAACCACTAAAAATTCAGTATTAAAAGTTGTGTCTGTTCAATGACAGCATTTTCCTTCACATTTCAAATAGTGGCTGCTTAAGATGTGATTAAGAACTTAAGCTCAGTGTACAGTGATGCTTTCAACACTGTCCATACGAACAAGCCCGAGATGAGACCAAGCTTGGACTCACTGAAATTCCCAAGAATGGATTCTAGATGAGATTCCAGAAGCTGTTCCCTTGCCCAGATACAGTCACGTAAGATTTTCGGTACCAAGTCTGAATGGACAGCAATTCATCTACTTTCAACTTAAATGCATTATTTTAGAAATGTAGCGAGTTCCCAGCTGTTATCAAATGGCAAGAATGGTTCGTTTAAACCAGGCTTATTTTATGTCCTGGAAAGATCAGAGGTTGACTCGTGTGTTTAAGGGATAGCTTCAGTTGGGGGCTGTTAATGCCTTGACAATGAGGCCACCTAGGGCCTGACAACAGGATCAAGTGTGTTCTCTTCCCCGCCCCCCGCAGGACAGGGCTTGGTTCAGGCCACATTCTCACTGTGCCTCTGATGAGACAAGTAAATAAACCACATGGCTAAAAATAGAGCCATGAACAGAGGCAAATCTATGCTAATTTGCAAATATAATCACTGATGCCTCCTGTCTGAAGAACATGAGGGAAAACGCTCAGAGCGCAGGAATGCCCAGAGGCTTACTCTGGGGCCTAGCAGCTTGGGAGCTACTGCGGAATGGCTCCTTCTGTGGCGTATTAACGCTTCTGCCTCTAGCCAAGGCCAAGACCCAGAAGCACTCGAAGAGTGAAAAATGAGAAACACTGAACCCCCCAGAAAGTTCAGCTTGCATTTGGGGCAGGGGTTCAGTGGGTCCTCATTTGATCTAAACTAATTGTGCAAATCCTTTTTCCACTATCAAAGAGGTATGTGCTCTGTTTTCTGAAGCCAGAAACAGGAACTGAGTTCTCATTTTTCCCGGCCTGGGCTCGGGCTGAAAACCTCCCAGGCCGTGTCGGGTCCCTGCAGCCCGCAGCCCTGCCTTCCGACGCCGGGGGCGCTGAGCGGCTGTGGACTTCACCAGGAACATGCAGTGTCCAGCCGTGATTGTTCCTTGCCCACTGCCACTGGCTCTGCAGAAGGGGTTAACAGGAAGGTGCAAGGCCAGCGCTGGCTGCATCTCTAATCAGAATGGCAAGCCTTTCTGCAAGGCCACCAGGGCGTCGGGACACATCTGGCTGTAAGCTCTGGCCCAGCAGCAATTGGCTGAGATTTGAATCCCAGGAATCCTGGCCCTCTGGAAGAGTGGGTGCTGGAGAAATAGCCACATAAAGGTGTACAGGGTGCTCAAAGACATTCTGGGGCTTAGCCTTGTCATCAAACCTCTCCCGTCACCCAGCAGGTATGTGGGTAGCTGGGAAAGAGGGGAAAACAAGGTGGGAGGAGGGCATGAGCCATAGCTAAAATTTTGTCTGCATTTCAAGGCTGGGAAGAAGGGGAATGGGCAGGCCACAGACTCCTGGCTACCCGTGCATACACAAGAGAAACACAGCATTTCCCCACCCCCCAATTCCCCCCCCGGGGTGTTTTGGCTGCTCACCCAGTGATGGACGAGTCCACTTCGTGCATCAGCGGCACCGTCAGCGTGAGGGTGTTGTCATGCAGGGACTCGGAACGTTCCACGTTGCCACTGCGTGGGAAGAGAGGGATGAGTGCTGGTCGGTGCTCACTCCCCGGGAGCAGGCTTCGTTGTTCTGGGTTAGACCTCGATCTGTCACTCTCCAAGGGCTGGCTGTGCACCTGATGTCCCTTCGGGTCTGTTTCTGGTCCCCGTGCAGAGGCACAGTGGGCCTGTCATCTCAACTGTGATCCCTCCCCAAAGATCTGAGTACAAGTGGTGTGCTGGGGAGGTGACCCCAGGAGACACCAGCAGGGAGTGGAGAAGAGACAGGGAAGGGAATGAAGGCAGAAAAGGCAGGTAATCCAGGAGGTCAGTGCTGTGGACAACTAGGTTTGGACTGGCTGGGGACATCTGGGAGACAGCGTGGAATACACACCAAGGTCTTCCCACGGGAGGTGGAGCTTTATCCATGACTCCTGAGATCTGCTGCAGGGGTGGGGTGGGGGGCAGGGAACAGGAATTTGCTGGCACCCGTGCTATGCACCCGAGTGAGTGGGCTGCGGCCCGAGAAAGCCTCGGCAGAGTGGTGCTGGGAGCCAGAAGCTGTCCGGTGGGTGCAGGGAAAGGCGAGCGCTGAATGGTTATGGCTGGGCACCGACAGCACGTGCCACTTCTAGAAGTGCTTGTTCCATGAAGAACGGACCAGCAAGGTTAGGGCACAGCAGCTGGGAACGGGTTTGCTGGACTTGAGCCGCCATTTCCCACGTAGAGGCATGACCCGCCTTCCTTGGACAGCCAGCAAAGCCTGGGAGAGGAGCCCTGGCCAGCCCCGTCATGATAAAGACCACGGGAGCTCCCCTATAGACTTCTGGCTGCAGCACATCCATCCACGACAGGCATCCCCCTTGGAGTGAGAAAGCAGGGAATGGGGACTGTTGTGGTCTCTCTGGAAAGGGCAGTGCAAGGAAGCTGACACTGTTGGGCAACTGCTTTGTGTCAGGCATACTGCACAGCATGATCTCACCGGGTCCTCCGAGGAACCCTAGAAGGGTGGGGGACTGCCTGCCTCTGACAGGTAAGGAGCAGCTCAGAGAGATTAGGGAACTTGCCCAAGGATCCACAGCAAACCAGGTCAGCCAGACTCCCAAACTAGGGCTCTGATAGCAGATTTGGAAGGTTGTGGGTAGGAAGTGGGGGAGGGGAGATGAAGAAGAGGAGTAAAGGGAGGAGAGAAGACCTAGCTTCCTTTTACTATTTTGTTACGTTTCCAAGATGATTGTGATTATTATTCTGTGGAAGTAACACCTTGGAAACAGGCAGGGCCGTTGGGTGCGAGCTGCCAGGGCCAGCACTTCTAGCTGGTTCTACCACATGGCATGTATGTGGGATCCCAGCTGGAAGCCAAGTGCATCCTCCAGGGGTGGAATGTAGGGACCCCAAGACCCACTGAGGTTTGAGCACAGTTCACTGGCCCACTCCCCCCGCCACATTCCCTGACCCCTTGCAGAGTTCCTGCCTGCTCCCTGCCCTCCCCCACTGCCCCCACTGTCTTCCTCTCCCACCAGCAAGTGCTAAATGCAACAATACTTAAAGAGAAGCTCACATCCCCTCTTCTTCTTTCTCCTATTGTTCTGAAACAATGGTGCTCTGTGATTCTCACCCCTGACTCCTCATCTGTCTTCTGCTAATGGGGTGACATCCATCACTCAGAGGGCAATTGCAGAAGCAGCAGGGTCAGGTGCCTACCTAGCCTGATTCCCTTGCCCTTCCTTTCCCAGGGGGCTAATAAAAGCCTTACAATCACCACCAGAGGCAGATCAGAGGTGACATGGAATGGATGGGACTGGGACCGGTAACGCCCTGGCCTGCAACCCAAACTCCCCTCAACCCCACATCCTGCCAGTAATGGGATCCTGATGGACGCGCCACCCCTTGCCCTGCCATTTGTCCAGCCACCTGTGGCTGCTGGCAGCTCAGGCCCGACAGTCTCATCTGTCATCGGGGAACTGCTCCAGACCGACTGGAGCTGAAAAGTTGAGATACAGAGGCCAAACATCAAAAGGCTTGCAGCCACTCCACGAGCTCGTGACTTGGGATGCGTTCCCATGGTCTGCAAAGCCAGGCTGCTGAGAGAGCTCTGGAGGACTGGTTAGGCTCCACTTTACGTCCTCCTAAATCCGCAAGTCGGCAGGAGAGCTTCAAAGGGTGGTGACGGGGAGGACAGAACGATGGATATTTTAACGGCGGCTTTCAAGATAAGGGGCTTAAAGGATCTTTCTGCGGGAGCCAGGAGTCAAGTGCTGGGACCCGCCCTCTGGGGTGGTAAGGCTGTTTTCACCAACATCTGGGAAGAAATGAGCGCCTACAATATTCTGCTCATGTTTTACATATAATACAGCTTCTTTACGGCCGGGATTCCAACGTTAGAAGATTCTGCTGATTATTTCAGCTGCCAATACTAGGCGTGCCCTGAGGCGACGGAGCACTCACTCTTCGTGCACATGAGGGGATGTTCTTGATTTTAGGAAGCGATTAGCGTTTTCTTAGTGCCCAGCATTGCATCTGATAAATTGCACATGCTTCGTAGAAGTCTGCTGGGTGGAAACATGGCCCGTATAGAGCCAGGGGCTCCAGATGGTGTCTCAGCCTTGGGTGCTTATTAGAATCACCTGATGAGATGATTTCACAGTCCCAATGCCGAAGTCTCAGCCCAGACAGATAGATCTGAGCCTCTGAGGGATGGACCAGGGATTGGTGGTATTTAAAGCCCCCCGCCCCGCCCCGACTCCCATGGGCACCACTGGCATCTAAGGATGGGTGATTCTAACAGATAGTGCTCACACTGTGATGGTGTTGGCCCCCTCTTCTCTGGCACCACTGATTAGCCCTGGGCGGGGTTGGGAGGCAGGCGGCGTTTCCGCTCTTTGACAAGGAAGTCCCTTTCATGTCATTTATTTCCTGCCCCGGTGTTCCTTCCCAGGAATATGCAGGTGGAGAGGAACCACTAATGGATTTGTCCAACCACCAGGAGTTTTCAGTGGGTCCAAGAAACAGCAGGAGAATTAGGAATTTCCAGGTTTGATTGGCCACAGGCCTCCCTTTCTGAAATTCTATACGCTCTGTGGGCAAACTCTTGCATGCCTCAGTTCCCTCTTCGAAGACTTTCTGCCTCTGGAACGTAGCGCAGACTCTCTGAGGCCACGTGGGCTTTCTGCGGCCCAGCCCAATCTCCTCTGTTGGCGCATCTCCCGCTGCCCTGTCTGCTCCCCACAGTGCCCAGCACCCATCTGGCTGTCACATACTTGGCACTGTGCCGCTGTGTCTTCAGCCTGAAAACAGACCCCTCTGTTTAGATGCCGTCTCCCCAGGGAGGCCCTTCTGGATTCTGGCAATGGGAACCAAGTCCACCTTCCCTACGCTTTGTACGTAATTTCTATGAGATCACAGTCACGTTTTTTATGTGCACGTGAATTATGGGATCAGGAAACAGGCTGAATAAGAAATAACCAAAGCCTCAACGGCTTCAAAGCTTGCAAGCCCGGCCGAATGCGATCTGTGACGAAATGCTAGCACTCCACAGCGGGCCACCCTTGCCCCGCTAGAAGGCCATGCAGGATTTCTGGGCTTGCTGGGCTGTACTTGAAGTCACGGCTGTTGTTACTTACCCCGACTTTTTACACATGCTTAGTGCATGTTCAGAAGTCCAGCCAGGGCTGAACTAAAGGCCACACAGCCATCACCTCTGGAGTGGAAGCTGGACGCAACCACACAGGGTAAAGAAGGCCAACGCACACTGTGATGTGCTGTGCTCTTATTTTTAGGAGACAGAACATTCTCCAAACCATTTGTGATAATGCTAAAAAAAAAGAAAAAAAGAAAAAAAGAAAAAGGAAAGAAAGAAAAATACAGAAAACAACACTGAAGCCAAAATAGGGGATTGTGGTTGTGGACTGAGGGGCTCTGGTAATGTATGCTTCCAGCATCACAGTCATTCCCAAGGGAAAGGGAATCTTGATTCCATGAGCTTTAAATAACGTCGAGACTGAGGAAGGCCTCAAATGAAAACAAAATTAAAAAGCAGTGGGAGAAGAAACCAGAGTTGCTTTGTGTCCGCCTCCCACAGATGCAGCTGCTGGCCACTGTCCTGTTGTATTTGTTGGGGACTGACCTGAGCATCCCTGACCTCTAGCGGAGAGGGGGTACCTGAGGGCAAAGCTGTTAGTGAGGGGCCAGAACGGACAGCAGAAAATGGAAAGATGCAGGGCTTGGGAAGAATCTCAGTCCAAGACTCTGGGGAATTGGTGTTTTTGTGAAAATTCAAGCATCACTCTCAGGCAGTGAGTATCAAGTATGTTCGTTCAGGTCCACATTCTGGCTGAGGTGTAAGGGAGGCCAGATCCAGAGGAAAGCACCAGAGCAGGATTTACTATGGCTTGGGGCAAAAACCCTGCATCTTCGTAGCAAGGGGGTGGAGGGGAGAAGGGTGGTTTGGGGGCGAGGTGGCGGCTTTGAGAGCGAGAAGTGGGGGGGGCGGGGGGGGGGGGGCATGGAGGAGCGTGTCTGCCCTTTAAGGCACACTTCAGGGCACCTTGCTCAGCATGGGGGGACGGGGGCTGCCCAGGGAATGTAGGGGAAGGCTGCTAGGTTCCTCTCTCCTGGCACAGTGGGAGAGAAGGGGCCATGCAAGAATCTGGCATTTCCAGAGACCGCCACGGCAGAGGCTACCGGGTGGGACCTACATGCGAAAGCCAGGGTGAAGGTCGCCTTTGGTCCTGTCCCTGAGGGCACGGTCTCAGCAGCAGAAGCTGAAGGGGTGTCTGGCTGGCGAGAGGCTGAGGCTGGAGGGCAGACTGAGAGACTCACAGGTGAGAGAAACCCCAGCTGAGGGCTGGCTGTCCAAAGGCGAGAATCAGCTTGGAATACCCACATGGCCCAGGGAGTGCTCCTACCTGTTGAGGAGTGAGCCCTGTTTCTATTTCGCTCACACCTCCCACATGCCCTGCTGTGAGCCTGGGGGGGCTCGGGACTCTCCAGGGGAAGGAGGGGGCAGCAGAGCGCCACTGGAGGAAAGCAAGACTGTTCCTGAGAGCGAAGCAGGCTTCCCTTCTGCAGCTTGCTCTCTCGGAGGGGAAAAGGCTTCACTATCCCTTCCCTCTCGGGAAGACAGGGAAAAGACTAACCCCACCAAGTGGGCTTAAAGAGAATACAGGGCACAAAGAAGATTCTTTGTGATTGCCGGATGAATCTGCATGCTCCTGGCTCCCACTAAGGTTCTATCTTCATTGGCTCATTTTCTATCCCCCTACCCCCAGCACACTCGCTCCCCAACAGTAGGGACTTTGACAACGTCTGACACAGTGCCTGGCTTGTGGGAAGGGCTCAGGCGTTTGCAGACTGAAGGAACGAAGCATGCCTGCCCTGGGCTAGGTCGTCTCTCCTCCCCTGTAGGAAGCTGGGTGTCTGCCTCCATCTCTAGACTGAAGCCTTCTTGAGATGGTTTGGGATGCCAGTCTCACTCTCGTCTATCCACGATCCCTCTCAGCCCTGGCCTTGTCCTTTCCCCATGGTTCCCACCTGCTGATCATGCAGGGAGGTGGGCAGAATGCTCTAAGGCATGATTCCCTGCTCCATCTGGGGGCCAGACACAGCTGAGCCGGTGCCCCTCCTATTCTGCACAGCTCATCGCACCGATGGGCTGGCCCCAGTGCAGCTCATCTGGAGAGCCTGGGAAATGGTGTTCTTTCTAATTTGTAACGTGGGATGAGGAACTCCTTCTCAGCTCCTGAGGGCATTCTCCTCCTCAAAGGAAGGCTGGGGTCGAGAACCCTCATTTCAAGGGTGACCATGCAGGTGGTGGGGGGGGGGGGCTTTAGCTCCATAAAGCCAAGCCTGTGGCTTCACTCTGTACCCCAGATCCTGAGGGTCTTTAGGTCTGAACCTTGTTTCAACCTCGTGACTCCACTGAGCACCCCTGCCTGGTTGACTTTCGGTGCCTGATTCCACTGCTTGCCCACCCAGGGTCTGGCCTTCTGGGTTCCTGGCCTCTATTCTAGCCATGCAGCTCCTCGTTTTGTTTTCTCATCATTTCTGGTGGACCTTGCCTGACCTTGGCCTTTAGGGTGTTTGGTTCAGATCTCCAGGCCACCTCTGGGATGGACTTAGGATTGTTGGCAAGAAATTTCCTTTGGAGGTTACAGTAACTACAGAGAAGACATGATAACGGAATGCAATGCATGATCCTTGACTGGATTCTGGGCCCGTGACAAAGGGGTGGAAAAGTCATTGGGACAATTGGCACAATTGGAACATGGACTATAGAGGAGATAATAGTGTTGTGCCAGTGTCACATCTCCAGCATTTGTCACCTCTCCAGCATTTGCTAACTATACTGGTTATTGAAGAAAACAGTCTCGTTTGTAGGAAATGCACACAGGGGTCCTTATGGGAAGGACACATGATTTCTGCAACTTTCAGATGGTTAAGACATAAAAACTATCCGTAGAGAATGATAAGTAAATGGAGCCAAGTGCCAGCATGGGCTGCAGGAGAGTTCCGTGACTTATGCTTTGCAACAGTTCTGGTAAGTTTAAAATCCTCTCCAGATAAAAATCCAGATTACAAAAGTAGCCTTGGGTATCCAACCTACACCCTGATCAAAGTTTGTTTTTTCCTCTTCACCCACCTACCTACCTCTCCTTCCAACCCGATGTCAGCCAAGTGCTACCCAAATGGTGCTTCAAGGTACACATGGATTCTGGCTTGTAGAGACAGCTGACAGCCCCCAAAGCCCCATCACGGCTCGAGGCCACACTGGAGACAGAGGGGCAGGAGCACACTCCTGAGGGCAGAAGTCGCCTTGCATGGTGCCCTGCCCCGACTCCCTGTCTCTGCCCACAAGACTTCCAGGATAAGCCCTCTCTGGAGGAGCATGTCTTGGGGCCTCTGACAACAAGCTTTCCCCCAGTCCCCCGGCCTGCTGTGCCCCCCTCCCTGCATCCTGGAATGCAACCCACAGAGGAAGTTTGTGAACTACCCAACCACGTGAACTTGGATCAGAAACCTCACCTCCCCTGGGCTGTCTCTCCTTGGCTGTAAAAGTCATTGCCTCTGACCACATGATCCCCATCCCTCCCAGCTCCATCCTACCTGCTGGCTGCATCAGCAGAACGGGACAGACACCAGCCCTGAGAGCTCCGACCCCAGCCAGCGCTCTGGGGCTCTATCGCTCCGGGGCTCTATCGCTCCACTGTTTCTTCCTCCTCAGAATCCTGAGCATCATCAAAGCATGACCAGGGAACATCCTTTCCTGTTCTCATAAATCTTTATCTTCAGAAAAAAAAAAAAGTGAAGCTCCCCCTTACCTCTGAGCAGTAATGATGAAGCTAAGAACTTCCTCTTCCCCAGACAGGTGGCTTGTGTCAAAGATCACGCTGAATTCGTACTAGGGGAAAAGAAAGTGACATCTGGCCTCAGCAAGCATTCCCAACGGAAACACCACAGTCTCTGCAGTTTATGACCTCTGGAGCTCATTTGCATGGCAAGCTTTATTTTTTTACGTGTATCTTTCTGGCTGACAGGCCAGAGGTACAACTGTAGTAATAAAACCAAGCCTGGAGTGTGCTCTGGTGAGAGGCACACGGTCTTCTTTAGCAACTGAGGTCTTCTAGGAAGTGATATGTTCGTCTCCTAGACCAGGCCTTTTTTATTTATTCATTTATTTATTTAATTTATTTATTTTTTATTAACCCAGCCTTTCTAAGTTTCATTCCCACACCATATTCCCAATGTTTGCCACACCTGCGTACCATATCACCCGTATCACTTATTGTGTACTTTCATTACCGCTCTTTTTGTTTAAAGACTACTTTATTTTTTTAGTCTTATTTTATTTAAATTCAATTAATTAACATATAGTGTATTATTAGTTTCAGAGGTAGAGTTCAGTGATTTGTCAGTGACACAGAACACCCAGTGCTTGCTACATCACGTGCCCTCCTTGCTGCCCATTACCCTGTTACCCTACCCCGTTACCCCATCCCTGCACCCACCTCCCCTCCACCAACCCTCAGTTTGTTTCTTATAGTTAAGAGTCCCTTATGGTTTGTCTCCCTCTCTGAGTTTGTCTTATATTATTTTTCCTCTTTTTCTCTATGATTCTGTTTGTTTCTTAAATTTCACATGAGTGAAATCCTGTAATTGTCTTTCTCTGATCGACTTATTTCACTTAACACAATGCCCTCTACTTCCATCCACATTGCTGCAAATGGCAAGATTACTTTTTTGATGGCTGCATAGTATTCCATAGTGTATATATACATCTTCTTTATCCATTAACCTGTTGATGGGCATCTGGGCTCTTTCCATAGTTCGGCTATTGTGGGCTTCGGTGCTATAAATACTGGGGTGCACATGCCGTGCCGCTTCAGATCACTATGCTTGTATCTTTTGGGTAAATACCCAGTAGTGCAATTGCTGGGTCATAGGGTGGCTCCCTTTTCAACTTTCTGAGGCACTTCCATGCTGTTTTCCAGAGTGGCTGCACTTTAGATGGAAAATTTCTACCATGATCACAGATGGGAATCAGGATCACTTACCAGTAAGAGAAGGTTGCCATGAAAATAAATGAAAACAAAGCACCGGGGCATTCTGTGGCCTGCTGAGGGCTCTGAGCCCAAGGGCTAGTTTATTTTGGCAAGAGGGAGATTAGCAAGAGCTAGGGAGGTGTTAAAGACAGGCTGACACTAGGGGAGACTTTCTCCTGCATGGGATCAGGGAAAAAGAGTATTGAACAGGTAATAACTGTTCCGCTGTTAGAGGCAATGTTCATGTTTGCAGTGTCCATGTTTGGTCTACAACTACCTCAGGCATTCCCTGTGGTGAGCATCCCATGGCTTGGGGAAGGCTGCCCTGAGCAAATGGTTTTCGCCATGTACTCACTGGGCATGTGTGGGGACGTGGGAGGGACCCCCGGGTAGGGTTACAGATCCAGGTGTGGCCACAAACTGAGTATGTGATCTTGGCCAAGACACGCACTCTTTTTACCTTTCAATAAAAATTAGAGGATGGACAAAATGATTCTTGAGTTCCGTCAAGCTCTGAGAGTCTATAATCATTTAATGTCAAAGTATTTGGGTTCCTTAGTGACTAATGCTAGGCACTGGTCTACCTTCGCAACCCTGGGTTCAACTGTACTAAATGCTGCCTGAGAGTAATGAACACGGACCCATCAAATACAGTGGGCAGTGAACATCCCTCTAGAGACAGAAAGTTCTGTAGCAGGGGGTCTGTTCAGTTGCCAGCGTGGGTGGGGACATGGAGACAGGATGGGAACCAGAGCTGGAGGACACAAAGGAAGGGAAAGTCAAGGGTCTTGTCCCAGCATAGAGTCAGAACTGGCAGGAGATCTGAATTAAACACTCTAAAGACCCAGGTGAGGTGAGAAGCCAAAAACAGAGAAGGGGGGTCCTGGGAGAACGGAAGGCCAGAGACGGGGCAGGCTGGTCATGACAGACAGGGACAGATGGCCACCAGAGTAAGCTGACGGTGCAGTCATGAGGCTTAACAGGTGGGCTGCAGCCTGACTGAGCCCCAGGGGCCGAGACACAGGGGAGGGCAAGCCAGGGGGCGGATAGGCGTGGTCCCCGGCCCTGCTGGGTCACTCGTTGGGCTCTCTCCAGGGACTCACCCCTAGGCCTCCGAACTCCAGCTTTCGTGTTGCTCCAGTCTGAGCCTCTGTATGTGGGAGGAAGGTAGTGGCATTACCGAGCTGGGAAAAAATCCAACCTTCCAACGTTCCTACTTCTGTCGGTTCCATGACTATTTTGAGAGTTAATGAATTTTGACAAAATTTAATGCTCCAGAATTCAACATGGCTTTGTTTTCCCTGTACTCGTTTTTATGACTACCCTCCCTTTATGGTAAGTGATCCTGGATCCGTACATCACAGTGATAAAGTTTTCCTTTTAAAATAACGTTTAAGCTAAAACTAGCATGCCCTACCTTAGGTTTGATTTGGGATGTTGGCTGGATTTTACCAATGAAATGGCAACTGTTAACGTTTTTCAGTTAAGTCAATTTTCGGTTGCTGAAAAGATTTCATTTAAACATGTATAACAGAAGTGCCATGCAACGTTTCTACAGGCAATAATGTCCAGGGTTCAGGGACATTGCAGGGTTCCTAAAAGGTTTTGGAATCACAGATGTAAGAGCCATTGTCATTTGGAGCAGGCATCTTCAATGGGGGCTGAGGGGTTCGAGTGATTTGCTACGAAATCAGCAAATCTTCTTTCTCCCTTGAACATTCTCACAACTGGCCTACAAAACAGCCACAAGGTACTGGGACCAAAATGCCTTGGAGATTAAAACAAGTTGATTCTGTGACATAGGCAGGAGAGGAGGATTAAACTTTTTTTTTTTTTTTTAGGGGGAAAAAGTTAGACAAAGGAATATGAAATTTCCTTCAAATAATAGCAAGAAAAATAGCTTTCATTTCAAAGGCAGACCTGATCTTTTAGATTCTCATTTTGCTTCCAACAATCACATCTTCTATGTATCTTTGCATATCCTTATAATACTGGCACATACCAGAATGTTCCATGAATGTTTGAGTATGCTGGACCATATTATTATTTGAGCTTAGAAAATTTGGCTCCATATAAATACCAAAGTGAGTCTAACTTCTTTTACTTGAGAAAAAGAAAAAGAAGTGCAATACCATTATTTATGTTTTAAGAATTTTAAGAGGTCTCTTCAGAAAATTTTGAGTGTCCAGGGGAGTGACAGAACTGTAGGTCACTAGCCCAGACCACATTTCTCCTATGTTGTCACACTCACAGTGGCATGGAATGTCCCAGAGAAAGATTTTTAGGAAGGCCAACCAGATGGTGCTTGCTGAAGTACCAAGGCCATGGTGTGTCTCTCACATTTGGGGTATGTCATGTAGATCAGAGAGGAAGAGCATGTGGGGAGGGCCCCTGTGGAGTAGAAGATCAAAACCCCAGCCCCACCCCTATGAGGTGGGCAGTGCCATGGCAGAGGCAGGGGTGGGGGTGGGAATGGGGGGGGGATAAAGGAAGCCTGGGGGGTTGGGGTACAGCTGACAGGACAGATGGCTGGTGGGAAGGGCTGGGGCCCTGCTGCGAAGTAAGAGCCTTGTCTCTTCCCCTTACCTTTGATTTTGACCTCATGAAAGGAAATCCCACGCTGCATTTGAGGAAGTCTGATTCAAGCAGCTCACAGGAAATGCCCATTTCCTCCTGAAAGAGAAAAAGCACCAATGGATGGGCTGGCAATGTGGAGACCAATGCGCGTAAGTGGCCTCCCTGAGGCAAACTGAGACTTGAGCAGATGCGGTCCTTCTTTGGGGAGGTTCCCAGGCAACATCGCTGCTGGCTCGGGTGATTGGGAAGCTTGTGACGAGGACAAGTCCTCAGTCCTTCTCTGGCAGCCCACCCTTCCCATGGGCTCGGTGGGAAGGCAGGCATCCAGAACATTCTTAACTAGTGTTTTGGCTCTGAACCCTGCTGCTCTCCTGGTGAACTGGACCAGGCTGCATGTGAGCCGGATGCCTCCAAAGTTTTGGGTTAAAGACAACCACGCCGTCTTCCTGGACACTTTCTCCTATGTCGACATTCTAATCCTGCCTTTCAAGACCTTGCTAGTTTAGGAAAGATAAACTCTAAGAAAATCACACCAAGGAAAATACAGGGATTTTTTCTGCAGCCTGGGGTGGTAAGGGCTGAGCTGGTACGCCTTACCCAGGTACAGGGGCAAGGAGAGGTCTCCTAGCGTAGCCCACCAAGGCTGGACTCTATACACAGTGGCACAAGAAACCAGGAGGGGGGTCATGGGGAACTGCTGTCTTCCTACTTGAACATATGGTCTACAACCAAGGTCAAAGGAGGCCAGAAGGCTCTTTTTAACCCACAGGTTCCAAGTTATTGAAGCCAAATCAAGACTTCCAAGGGGAGACAGTATGTTGTGGATTTTGGAGGAGATGCCACAGACCTAGCACTTGCTGAGTCTAGAAGCCAGGATGCCAAAGTTCAATAAGGTGGTGTGCCTCCCCCAAGGTCATTCCTGGTAGACTCTAAAGCCTGTCTCCCTCCCCATTCCACGACTCTAATTTTCTAGAGGGAAAGAGCATCTACATTCTCTTCTTTTTCTATTCTGTTTCCAGTCTACAAACACCCTTTACCTGGCTTCATTCCTGTACCTCTTTTAAGCTGTTTCCACTAGCAGGAATACTCTTCCTCAGTCCTCCTTCCAAGGCTTACTTCATGCACCTTGGCCCCAAATCCTCATGGATGCCAAGTTCACACACATAGTGTGGAAGCAGCACAGGATTCAGAATGGACCCTGAGCTTCTATGGGGTGACCGAGTCAGCATACCACCTACCATCATCAGCGAGAAGGACACAGGTCTGAAAGATGTTAGTTCCTGTCCTTGAAGAGCTCACAACTTAGAAAGAAGAGACCTCCCAGCAGACAGACACATTTACATGGAAGTGGGAGGGGCTGCTCTTGGAACCTAGAGGATATGCTTCTGCAATTTCAATAAGGAAACCAGAGGATAAGTTCTCAAATGCTGTCTCAGGACCTGCATGTCCCAAAGACTGGTCCTAATGATTCATTTGTGCGGGATTTATTCCCATCTCCTTCTTCCTGTTCCTCTTTGCAGAAGCAATGTCTACAACTGGCGCAAGGAGAAGCTCCTTTAAATCCTAGCTAATCAGCCTGTGGGCATCAGAGGTATCAAGCCCAAGCCTAGGTGACATTGGCTCTCAGTGTCCCTGGTATGGTTCCTGTTCACATCCATCATGGGGTTCAATTACTCTCAAGGGTGTCCCAGCATATATATAAATTACATGAGTCCTCAACCCAGTTCTAAATTTCCTTCATGAAGTTCCATGCCTCACTGGAAATTCCTTGCAAACCAGAAGACAGGTTTTCCATTCAAGTCAAAGATCTACCTGTTTGTGAAGAAAAGATTTATTGCCTTGAAGACATTTTTTAGGTTTTGCGTGGGTGTGAAGGAATGACTGTGACTTCAAAACTTTACTCTGGAACCTGAGAGGACCTCAGTGTACTTGGCTTTGGCTTCAGACTGTAGTTGATTATTCCAGAACTGCTGAAGTCCATTCTTTTGGTTAATTCCAAAAATGCTAGAAAATAATGTGTAAGCCAGGATTTATTGTTTTATTCCGAGTCTCTCTGCCACCCTACTCAGTCTACTAGAGATTGCAGAATTCTGGTTGGACCTTGGTGGGGGAAGGCAGAGAGCAAAAACCAGAGACCTCTCTAGGCTGGAGAGCGCTGGGTTGACAATCATGACTCACGCGCTCCTGGTGGTGCTATAGGAAAGGAGCTCATGCATCACCCTTCTGCCGCCTGTCAGCACCAACATGGCCCTCCTGGGGTTATTTATTTCTATACTCCGCTCTCCTACTACAGCAGTGAGGGGAGCAAACACTATGAGTGGATGGTTCTGTGCTTGTCCTACAACCCCTTTACTACATGGGTTCAATAGCCCCCAGCTGAATGGAAGCCTCTTTGCCTGGGGGAGGGTGGTTTACAACACCCTCCCCTACAAGCATTCTGTAGCCTCGGATTGACATCCCTTTGCCTCCAGGTGAGACGGGCTCTGCTGTGCGGATTAGGTTCCAGAGCCCCTGTGGGATGAGGCTAAAGCAGCCTCCAGCTGACAGGACAACTGTCGGGTTCCTTCCTCTGCCCCCTTCTGCTCCCTTCACTCCCCTTTTTTTCCAGATCATTTCTCTAATAAACTGCTTGCACAGAAATCCCCATCTCAGGTTCTGCTTCTGGGGAACCTGACCTCACACAATGCTCTTTATAGCTGAGGCTCCAGGCGCTGGGAGCTGCTGGGAAGGATGGGGCATTTACTCCCAGCTGAGGAAAGACAATGAAAGGGGAACATGCATATGCCAATAAAATTTTTTAAATTTCTACTAAATGAGAGAAACCTCATCTAACTGTAGTTTATGAAGTCTGGGTAACCGTGCCCATCGAGGGAGCAACTTACCCCAAGCAGTATCAACATCCTCTTTGTTCTGGTTTCACATCAGGTCCAGGGCATAACTAAAAACCAGGCTCATTATGGAGACATTTACACCCTTGGCAGGAGCCAGGCAGGCAACCTTGTAGGCACAGAGAGACCCAGTGAGGCTTCAAAATTGTGATCTATTGGGGGTTGCTTATTACTTCTGCCAGACATGTGGTGCCCACTGGGAAGTATTTGGGAGAGGTTCCTGACATCAGGCATCTCCTTGGCTCTGCCTTTTCCATGTATCACTCGTTGTTTACCCTGACTTTAGGTTAGAGAACACAAATTTATCATTGTTGCAAGACATGGGGATTGACTCTCAGCTGACTGGGAACACGGACCAGGGAGCAACAATTGTCCCTAATCACCAGACAGTGCAGACATCTGATTACCCAGTTCCAATATGGTACAAATCTACTACAGAGGGAAATTGAGTCCTTGCTGCAAAAGCAGCAGACTTTCATGAAATCAATGAAAGTGATGATGGAAAACTGCTCAAGCCACAGAATGCAACTGATAAATCTGGATCTGGCTGAGTTAGATCAGTTAACTGATAAACACCCCTAGATGATAACACTTTAAGATGCTTCCAAAGATAAGGATTTAAATAAAAAAGATCAAGAGAAGCCCTTGGAAAAGTATGCCATTATAAAAATGACCTCTTGTGGGTGCCTGAATGGCTTAGTTGGTTATTATCTGTTTTTGGCTCAGGTCAGGATCCCAGGGCCCTGGGATCGAGCCCGGCGTTGGGCTCCCTGCTCAGAGGGGAGCCTGCTTCTTCCTCTCCCTCTGCCTGTAGCTCTGCCTGCTTGTGTTCTCTCTCTCTCTCTCTCTGACAAATAAAGAAATAAAATCTTTTAAAAAAATAATAAAGATGCTAATAAAGCAAATAAGCTTTTGCCTTGGGTCTAAGGTGTCCTTGACATTATAATTCCAATGTTACAAGAGCTGTTAAATGTAGAATAATGTAACCTTATTTCCATAAGTTTTAGTTTTATTGTTCAAGTAATGTCCCAATCAAATCTAAAAAAATTTTTTTTTTCTTTTTACTACGAAATTTTGGATCATACTCTAAGAAGATTCACAGAACTGGCCTTTTTCCCGGTCCTGCTTTTCCTTGGCTAACAAGGCACTCCAATATCATAAAATGCTATCAGGGATTCTCCCTGGAGACTGAGTGATTCAATTTAAATGAAATTAATTTTTTTAGCCGACACACATTACTCTTGGGATCAGGAAAACATCAATGAACGTTTTCTAGAACATGTGATGAAAAGCATGCCTGATTTAGGCAAGTTCACCTCTGTATCCTCAGTGCCTGGCACTGAGCCTGGCACTTAGTAGCTCCTGAGTTTGCACTTATTAAATGAATGGGCCTTGGCTGGTCGAGGATTCGAATGAAGGGACTGGGAGAAGAAGCTATTTGTTGGTCTGCCTGGCACGGGAGATGCTTGCCTTGGCAAAGTCCCCCTCTTTTCCAGACATACCTCAGCTCTCCCAGGCCCGGGAGTGTGGCCAGGGGAGTCCAGCCCCAGCCCTGTTCTTAACGTGCAGCGGTTGGCAAGAAGACTCAGATAATGAAGTTAGGGAGCCCCCTTGGCCTTTGGACTCCTTCCTCCCAATCACACAGCGTTTGCTTTCATTCTGGAGTGTGCTTCATTTGACCACCAACACAGTGCTCTTTGGGAGCACCAAATCTGCAAAGTCTGGCAAGGGCTCAGTGCCACGGAAAGTTTAAAATTTGACTTCTTGTTTTCTAGTTTCCCCATGGGTTTGTCAAACTGAAGGGGACATGCATGTCCCCATGTCTGGCAATGTCATGTTCATCTAAGACCCCCTTCCTTCATCTAGCACTAGAGGTGTGACCCTTATGAGCTGGTAAGAGAAGCCTCCACGTTAATGTGGTGAATACAGAATTCAGGTAAATTTTGGAAGCACTTTATCCCAATTCTCTAATCAACTGGGTGAGCAGGGGTCCCCAATAAGTTGGCCCAGTGAGTTAACAGAAAGAGATTTCATTCCCAGGAAAGACTTTATTGGCCCCACTTGACCATGAGTCAGCCTGAGCCTCACCAGAAAAAACAGTCCTATTCCTGGAGGGGAATCCTTTGGGACAGGGTCCATGAAATTCCTGCCCAAGAAGAAAACCACACAGGCTTACAGCATACAAAGTGCACAAGTTAGTGTCCCAGC